ACCAGGCCAGGAATCCCTATCCGAAGCGGCTCCATCTTTGCCACTCTCCCAGCAACCTGAGGCATCGCTTGAGCCTGGGCATTCACCCAGTCCGGATAAAGTTGAGGAGGCTGCATTCTGCCCATCTTGGCCCTGCATCTGCCAGCCAGGCAACTGAGACTCCGTATTCCCCCTCTTGCTCCCCGAGGAGAGATCTACCTCCTCGCAAAAAGGGGTTGAAAAGGCGGCATTCTTCCTCCGATCGACATCGTGATTCTGACGTGGAGACTTCCCGACATCGGAAGGGACACAGGCATGAACGATCTAGACGCAGTCATTCAGGACGAAGAAGGACAAAACATCGACATTATGATACCAATTTGACGTCGTCTCTTCCTCTTCTAGTTACCGTAGGCACAGAAGGACGCGCTATTCTACCTCTTCGACCTCGAGTTTTTCACCTTCATGTCGACATCAACAGGCTCATAATACTCTCCCTTCTATGGATATGAAGGCTTCTAAAAAGACTTCTTCTACCTCGACGTCGAGGGCTAAAAGTACCCAACAAAATGCTCAGTTATCCTTAGCTGAGACTGCTGTGCATAGAGTTCCATCTGAGGAAGATGACCAGCTTTGTGAGGTGTCTTCTAATCAAGATGAAGAGGTTTTCTCTCCTTTGCAAGTCCAGTCACCAGTGGAGGTGGACTCCTTCAAGTCAGATACAGGGAATCCCCATCCATCCTCTCCCTCTGAGGATTTCTCCTCTTATTCACAGATGGTGACCAGAATGGCTAATGTTTTGAACATGCAAACACAACTTCCAACAGATGATCCCGTTTTTTGGGACATCGATCGAGAGTCTTCTCAACCACTTAGCCTACATTTCCCAGCTGTTTACTCTGATTATGGACGCTTGTTCTCAACTGGCCACCCCTCTTTCTGTCTTTAGGAGGACTACCAGTATGCAGCCTTACCATTCGGCTTAGCAACGGTTCCGTGCACGTTTACAAAGTGCAGGGCTCCAGTGGCTGCATTTCTATGTCTACAAGGTGTAAAAGTATTCCCGTACATCGACGATTGGCTCATAGTGTCGCCATCCAGATGGAAAGCCATTCAGGACACCAAATTCACCCTCCACACTCTGCAGAGTCTAGGCCTCACCATAAATTTTGAGAAATCTACCCTAAAGCCTTCTCGAGTTATGAGTTATATAGGAACAACACTGGACTCCAGAAGGGCAAGACTCTTCCTTCCTCCAGAGTGCATCTACAAACTACAGACCGCTCTTCAAAAGTTTCAACCACACTCCCTAGTGTCAGCACATCATGCGCAACATCTGTTGGGTCTCATGGCCTGAACTACAGCATCCTTACCACCCGCCAGGCTAAAAATGCGCTCGCTACAGGCTTGGTTTCTCCATCATTTCGACCCAATGTTAGAGGATCCGAGGAAGAAGATCCTAGTCACCCCAGAGCTGGCAAAACAACTACAGTGGTGGGGTTTCCGACCTCATCTGCTCATGGGCCGCCCATTTCGACCTCTGCAACTCTCTGCACAAGTAACAACAGATGCGAGCCCCACAGGCTGGGGAGCTCACTGCAGTGGTTATACTATACATGCCCTCTGGTCACATCGTCAAAGAGGACTCCACACCAACCATCTGGAGATGCTAGTGGTGATCAAATCGTTCAGAGCCTTCCTGCCGCTGATACAGAGTCGTGGTGTACAAGTTGTTACAGACAACACCACAACCTTGTACTACATCAACAAACAGGGCGGGATGAGGTCCTTGTCCCTTCTCTACCTTGCAATACACCTGTGGTAGTGGTGTTGCCACCATCACATTTACCTAGCGGCAATCCACATATCCACATCGGAAAACCAACTGGCAGATGAGCTGAGTCGCCAGAAGGGACAATCCCATGAGTGGGAACTGCACAACGATGTATTCCAGATGCTGTGCAGAAGATGGGGCCGACCAACCATCGACATGTTTGCTTCGCACATGAACAGGAAGTGCGAGAGGTACGCATCTCGAGCAGGCAGGGGTCCCAGTTCCCAGGGAGATGCCTTCATGATACCATGGCAGGACCACCTTCTGTACCTGTTTCCACCGATCCCTCTGATCCAAAGATCTCTAGTCAGGATCAGACAGCAGAGGTTGTCAGCAGTTCTCATAGCACCATACTGGCCACGTCAACTATGGTTCTCTACTCTGGAGGAGTTGGCCACCGAGGTGTTCAGACTTCCACTTGTGCCACATCTACTAACACAGGATTCGGGGAATGTTCTACACCCAGAGTTGGACTCCCTCCACCTGGCTGCATGGAGGATCTGCCTGAAATCAAAGAGGTGTTAGACAAATCCAAAAAACCATCTACTATCCTCTTATACAAAAACAAGTGGAATCATTTTCTTCGTTTTGTCACTGCCAGAAATCTCCAGACTTCTCCAGTCTCCCTACAGACTTTGCTCCTTTATCTCAAACATCTTTTTGATCTCGGCCTTACTTTGTCAACCCTCAAGGTGTCCATTTCTGCAATAGTCTCTTTCCAGCCTAGGGACTCAGAATCTTCACATCTCTTTTCTTATCCTACATTGAAAGCATTCTTGAAAGGACTAATCAACATTCGCCCTCCTACAAGGCCTCCAGTACCTTAATGGTCCCTTACATTGATTCTACAATCACTCATGAAACATCCCTTTGAGCCTATGGCTTCCTATGATGTTAAGTTTCTTTCCCTAAAGACTCTGTTTCTAGTTGCAGTTACGTCTGCTAGAAGAGCAAGTGAGTTGGCAGCCCTAAGGTCTGATCCTCCTTGCCTGCAATTCTATAAGGACAAGGTTGTTTCCAGATGTTTCGTTCCTGCCTAAAGTTGTTACAGATTTTCACCTCAATCAGCCTATTTCGTTACCTACCTTATTTTCTGATCCTTCGTCTGACATTGAAAAGATGCTCCATTCCCTGGATGTTAGAAGGGCGTTAGCATGCTATGTTTCCAGGACAAAGGACTTTCAGAAGTCTGAAAGACTCTTCCTTTGTTTTTTTTGGACCACACAAGGGTTGTCCAGTGTCATCTTCTACCTTGTCACAGTGGTTTGTCTCCACTATTACGCTTGCCTACCAACTTGCAAGTAAAGATGTGCCTGAAGGCCTTAAGGGACATTCCACAAGGTCCATGGCGACACCTACTGCCTTACTACGTGGTGTGGACATTCCAGACATCAGCAAGGCAGCTACACGGTCCAGAGTGTCCACATTTGTCACCTACTACAGGTTGGACCTTTGGGCAAAGAAGGAGACGAGTTTTGGAAGGGCTGTCTTGACATCTGTCCTGCAGTGACGGCCCTCCTTCCGGTAACTTAGCTTGTCAGTCACCCAAATGTGTGATTCACAGAGACCACGCTGAAGAAAGAAAGGTTACTTACCTGTAACCATGGTTCTTCAATTGGTTCTCTGTGAATTCACACATTCCTACCTGGCCTCCCCACTATCCATCACTGCTTCCTTTATGATGAGCTCTTGCTCTAGCAATGACGGATAAATGGAACTGGAGGCAGGGAGGGAATGGAGCATGCGTGCTAGGGGCAACCTAAACTTTGTATCTTTTTCAGAAAAGCTCTAGAAGGTTCCAAAGTTCCAGCGCAGGCGCTGATTTAACCCAAATGTGTGAATTCACAGAGAACCACTTGAAGAACCATGGTTACAGGTAAGTAAACTTTCTTTTTAAATTCCTCCATTCTAGCAGTGGGTGGGGTCCAAAGCCAACGTGGGTTGAGTGACAAATGTGACTCTTTTATTCAGTACTTGAGAAGTGGGGGAGTAGAAATGTTTGCATTTAAGCATTCTCTTTCCCCCCAGCTCATAAAAAGACCCCACTTTGGAACTGGTGGACATGGCAGGGAGGAGCAAAACATGGAAACATTTATTTTCCAAGTAGTGGCTATATCGGGTAGGGAATGCTGGGTGTTGTGGTCCCCCAAAGTAACTTTTCCAAACTCAGGGCTGAATAAACAATGTCAGAACTGTAGGGAGACATGAGTGAGGGGCCACGGCCTGGAGAAAATCCAGAGGTCTGGGCTCAGAGGCCTGAGAGGTCCACTGTTAGTCACAGAGTGGCAGTTCACCACAACTGGACAGGTGGCTTTAGAGCCGAAAGAACATCCCAACCCAGTGATAAGAAGAAGAGCAAATCCTTCCCTCTGTATCAAAACACCCAAGCACATCTCTGGTTGCTGACTAATCCCTCTGAAGGGCGAAGCCTTTCTCCCTCTTCCCTTTGCTGCTTACCTCTGAGCAAAACACTCTACTGTGGTTAGCTTAACATCCCCTCCTTGGCTCCATTTGGTTGAATTATGGATGTGCATCAGGAGCACTTAAGAAAAATCAATGGGAAATGGGTGTGGCCGTGGATATGGGGGCAGAGGGAGAGTCTCTGTAGCTCTCCACATGTCCAGGCTGTCAAGAGAAACAAATAGATATTTTCCTCACACTTAAGCCAAACCACTGGGCTAGGTCAGCACTGATTGGCCCAGGCAGCTGATCAGTAAGGAAGATGCAAATGCAAGCAAATTTTCCCTGAGTTGGTCTGGATCCCCCAGACACGGATGTGCTGCTGAGCTGGAGGAGCCTTTTCTGCTCTGCCTGACTCGCTTGGGCTCCTCAACCTTGGGCTGGAGGGCAAGGAGACCCTGGCAAACCCAGGTGAGTGCCACTTGATTTATTGGTGCCCAAAGCAACGCACAGGAGAGGGGGTGGAGGGGAGGGGGAGAAAGAGAGGGCTGTCTGGGCAAGGCTGGAAGTAAAGGGTGATGATCTGAATGGGCAGATGGGTCTACTTTTCAAGAAGTGCCTCAGGGCACAAAGAATGAAAGATGATAACAGAATCCTCTGGCAACCCAAGGCTTGACTTTCCATGTAATCGGCTCCTGCCTATGCCGGTTCCTATGTGAGACTCGTTGAACATATTAGTGCCAGATAATAGGATTGCGGCTCTACATTTTAACTTTTCCGAGAGCTGAGTATCTTAAGCAATCGACTGAGATTCAGGTGATCTCATTTATCTCTTTCATTCAAGGGCTTGGTGCGCTTTATAGCGTTCTCATTTGCACTTCACAGCAACCCTGTGAGGCAGCCTAGCCTCCAAGGATGGCTTCCTTCAGACTTACCCATAGAGTTTTTCTACCAGACAAACTTTTTTTTTACACCATTTGCTCATACAGACCACATATTTTCTGTGCTCAGCCAAGAGGCCAACAAAAGGCACTTGGTCTGCCCCCAGACAAACTTTCCGGTTTTCCCCCTAGTCTGGCAACATTATCAGGTTCATGGGAGAGTGGCTGATTTCATAACGAGGCTTCAGTCAAGCAGAGTTTGGTGTTCATGGGTGAGTAACTGGCATGAGTCAGAGTCCTGGGCATCCGTTAGGTGACATCATTAGAAGAATCACACCAATTAATGGCTCTTTTGAAGGTCTCTTAGTGACTGCCAAGTTGAGCCCCGATTCCTTAAATAAATGAAGTTGAAGGCTATGTACCAAGGTCAGGGCTGGGTGCACTCCAGCCCAAATGAAAACACAAGTGTTCTTTCCAAGGAAACACGCATCCTGCACCCAGATCCTGCAGGCTTTATAATTTGCAGGATGCACTCTATTTTCATAATAATACTGCAGGTGACAAGGGAGGGAGGGAGGCAAGCATAGCATAGCATGGAATAGGAAGGGATTAATTTAGGAACACACATAAAACTGGCATATCGCACCCTCTGGTCTTTAGATGCCACACCCATTTGGAAATGGTTCTCCCGTACACCCTTTGGAACCTTTTATCCTCAATGGTGACAGTAAACATACTTTTGAAAGAGAGAAGTGAGATGCAAAAGAAATTCAGATGAGTACTGTTTTGAAAAAAAAATGTTCTCATTGTCCCTAAAATAAAAATTTTCAGTACTTAACCTTTTAGATTCTGAAGGAGCAATGATGTTAGCTATTTGTCCTTTCATTACAATTGACTATATTATTTTCAGGACCTTAGAAAAGCCGAAGTGAAATGCATACAGAGAGAGAGGAAGAGAGGGAGGGAGAGGGAGAACCCTGTCAGCCATTATTGGTTGTCATATTTCACACCAAGAAATCTGGGGTATCGTGGCTTGGTATAGGTGGCCATAATCTTCTGGTGTATCTTTTTAGCTCCCTCCTCCCAAACTACAGTTCCTAGAAATCCCTGACCCAAAGGAATGCCCACTCACCCTGCAAAATACCTGCACCTGTGAATTCTATGCTATATGCTGTACTTCCACATCCTTTTTACTTCTATTTTTCAAATCCAGAAATGCTTGTTGAAGACTAGGTAGCATCACACACAAATTTAGGATGTGTATTTCTTCAATTCCATTCGGTTTCATTGTTTACAACCGAGGGCCATCATACTAGAAAAGGAATTTTTTTAAAAAATACTAAAACACTATCAAACTTGCCCTTTCTCCTTCTGGAGCCATGTTGAAAGGACAACATTAAAGCTGCTCCCACAAACTCGAAGGCAGAGTCAAAACAGTGAAACTAAGTAATAAAACAGCAGTGAAGCAGCAAAGACAATACTGCAGATTCACAAGTGTAATAAAATCAAAATGCCAGGGCCAATTTTTTTACACACTTTAACCTGTCATAAAATTGATCATAGTGTTGGCACCAGTTGTAGCGCTACCATCAGGGTGAGGTCGGTCTCAGGTGGGGGCTGAATGAGGTGGAGGGGGCCTGGCATGATCTGGCTGAGGTACCAGGTGAAATATTTCCATCTCTTGCTTTTGGCAGGATTTCTTTCCTCCTTTTCCTACATGGGGAAGGAGGTAGAAGGATAAAGACCTCTTGGCTAGCACTCACAAACCTGCAGGGGGAGAAAGAGGAAGAAGGAAACACCCTCAGGTAGTGTATGACTCAGCTAATGGAGGGCAGGAAAGGGGATCTGGAGATGGATTCCCCTTCCTCTTTCCTATTAGCCTCAAGTGAGGGTGCTTCAGACCAACTTGGGGGGGGGGGAAGGAACCCTCAGCTGATTGTGTCCAGACTGTGCGCAACAGGTTCACCGTGCAGGTTGGTAGCTCCCCTCTTGCCTGCTGTCCTCAAGGGAAGGAACTCCACAATTAGTCTGCTGTCTCCTTTAGATGTGTAAGTAGATCATGACACATTGCAGCAGATTAACACAAACCTACTGTATTCATCATCACTTTTTAAAGAAATAGGTAACAATAATACTGTATCTTATAAATAAAAGTCTTCAGAATTTTTTAGCCAGAAAACCTTTTCAAATTCTGTTAGTACATAGAGCGTACTATGTTACTATGAGACCAAAGGTTGTATGTGGACAAGCACTGACTGATGGGAGAACAATACGTGCTGTCCATAGGCTCAGATGCCTATTGATTTCCGTGGTGGATATCCATAGGCACTTATGCACAGAACACGGTGAACATTTACATGCTAGACATGTTCAATTTGCATTACCTGAAGGAAGTGAGAGTGTACTTTCTTTCCCACCTGCCTTACAGAGTGGCATCCCAAGCCACACATGGTATGTGACCTGTATTGCATCCACACTCTCTGTATGTGGTCACTCTGTTCTTCGGCTCCCTTAGGGGTGGAGCCCGTCACCTACATTGCTGCACCAGCAAATAATGAAGGTCTGAGAGGAGATCCAAAGACTCCTATTGCTGCGGCATTATATCCTGTCCGGAGCCTCAGTGGAATCTCCAGCTGAACATAACAGTCACTTTGGCACTATGGGATAGCATGCCACCAATGGGTAGCCTCACAAGGGCTATTAAGTGGCTCAGAACTGGACAGATCTGGCTTGGAAACGGGGCTGAAGACTCATCTGAATCAGCACTGACTAGACCCAGTTTGTAGTCTAGCACCAGCTGTTGGGTTGTGATCGGAACTACCAGCTACAGGGATGTAGGGCACACGTACACCTCCACCCATACTAACAGGCAGATACCCATAAAGTCTGACAGAACCTAAAATGAGTTGTTGTGTTTTTTTTAATAGCTGTGGCTGTGGAGTATACCAATTGCTCTTGATGGCTTGGGACGCTGATGCATATTAGCCCATACTAACAGGCAGATACCCATAAAGTTTGACAGAACCTAAAATGAGTTTTTAATAGCTGTGGCTGCGGAGTATACCAATTGCTATTGATGGCTTGGGATGCTGATGCATATTAATTCTGATCTGCTATTATTTGTTTGTTTGATTAATATCCTGTCTCTCCTCCAATGAGATCATGGGAGGTCTCCCTCCTTCCATTTTATCCTCACAACAACCCTGAGAGGTAGGTCAGGCTTGGAAACGTCACCGGATGGATTTCATGGCCCAGTGGGAACTAGAAGGACTTCCCATATCCCAGTCCAGCACTCTTAAGCACAAACCTGACTTTGTCTTCATTAAGTGGCGCATTTTTTAAAAAAGCTAAATGTGATCTCATGAAACCCACAATGATTTCACAGGAACAATCCACAAACAGGAAGCAAAAAGAGTGTGGGAGCCTTACTTACTTGAGTAACGTTTCCCCCCAAATCCGTAACCTTTTCTGTGGACGTTCCTTTGTAGCAGGACCAGTTCCAGAACTCCCTTGCTAAGGAAAAGCTTTTGTTGGTCCCTTTTAGCTTCTATACAAACAAAGGCCAACACACACACACACACACACACACACGGCCGCCACCTCCCATTTCTGGAAGTGTCAGAAGGCTATAGCCCACGAGTCTGATGATGTAAGCGGCCCATTTTGTTGACAACAGAGGAAAATGCTGGAAAATTATTTCCAGAATGGAATCCAAGAAGTGGCCTTTCCCTTTGGACTGCCATCAGGCTCCCCTCTGCATGTGGCTGGCTAATCAATCCCAGCCTCCAGGAAGCCTATGGACTGGACGGCTGCTCCCCTTGTTAAATCTCACCATCTGGCTTCAGTCATGGAACTTTGGGGGTAGGAATGGGGGGGGAGGGAGGAGAGGCTGCTCTGAGCCTGGGTCTCCCAGAATGCTTTGTTCCACTTGGAGGGTGCCTCTCTCTTTTTCCGACGCCTGAAGAAGAAAGTAGCGAGGAACCCCCTTCGGCTACGTAGGGATCGGTGAGTACCTGCATGACCCCCTTTCGACAGACCGTTTTCTGTGTCTGGAGGAAGAGCTCCAGTTCTCAAAACAAGCAAGGAGGCTCCAGCTATCTCTTGTGCTGTGTGGCATCTGCAGAGTTCTGCAACAAACCGCTCAGCACCCAAAACGCTTTGCTCAAGCAAGTTGCGATCTGGTGTGTGCCTGTCGGGACAGTGCCTCCTCCGTCCGTCCCCAGATGCTCTTTTCCTGACCTCCAGTGGAGCTGTCCTGGTTGTGGTTGGTTAGTCCATAGTGAAGGCCCCCCTCTCCTATTGTTCCACAATGCCTGGGGCAGTACAGTGTCTTCCAGATGTGTTGAACAGCAATCTCTCTCTCTTCCCCCCCCCCGCTTCCCTCCATTGCCAGCAAGTGTGGTCAGCTGCACACAGGGATGGCAAGGGCTTTGGGAGGGCTGTTCTAGGACAAAGCCTAGATTGTCAAAAAGCCATCCCTATAGATGATCCACGAAATGGCGTTTGTAATCCACATGCCCAACAGTCAGGTGTTAACACTATCCTTACAGTGTGGAACCTAAAGACATCACTACTCACGACCCTCTGTGC